CACACACACACACAAAACCTCCTTGCCATCACTTCATCATTTCATGCAGCCCTTCGTCAGGTGGCCTTTGAGTCTGTGTGGCCAAGCATTCTGTCATCCTGACTGTGTGGCCATGCTCTGCAGCTCCCAAGGGGAGAGGGAGGAGATGAATCTTCACTGACCCATGCCTGCAGCTGCGTCTGTGGATTGAAAGCAAGGAGCGCCCCGGCCCTGCTCCGATCTCAACTGCTCATATATCCTGTACTCAAACTCACTCCATCTTCACTAGGACAAAGTGAAATCCAGACTGGTAGTAAAATATTCTGTCTCTCCCCTTCTGGATATTAGGGTGCACATGGGTCTCTTTCATTTTATTAACATATGGCGTCTCAAACTGTAACTAGTGACAGCGCACGTGCTAATCAAACAGCCCTCAGTCCAAAGGCAAAACCTTTGTTGGAAAAGCCTCGGCAGCTTTGGCAAAAATAACAACCAGTCCAAACACAAGTGAGTGAACACAAATTACAAAAACACATACATTTTGCATGCAGAATAAGGATGGCTACAAATATAATTTCCCTGTGAGGTAAGTTTTCTGGTCTGTGACTTAAAATACTGGCGTTTAGGCAGGATACTTCACTGAGTTTACCCTAAAAAAAGATACATTTTTGTTACTGCTGTAATTCCTCCGATTATTCTGTTTTAAATTTGTATTTGTCTCTGAAAAAATAGCTTTATTATGATGCAAGAATCAGGATTTCCCTTTCAGATTTAATATTATATCTAAGCTAAAGTATTCAAGGTTTAGAAAAATTCTACTACTACTATTAACTCTTATAGACATACAGTTGTAGTCAGAAGCTTTCAGCGAAGACCTCTTTGGAAGGTCTCTTGGAGCTATTTGGAAACAACTGTAGATTCCAAGATCAACAGTTCAAACAATTGTATGCAAGTACAAGTTATTCAGAAGTGTCACAACTGAATAACTTGTGCTTGTCTGGAAGCCCTAAACTGTCAACCTCAGATGAGAGGAAACTGGTTAGGATGTTCAGAAACAGCCGAGGAACCCCCAAGGCTCAAGCCTGCCAAGAACTGGAAACAACAGTGTCACACGGTGAACAGAGTTTTACATAGCCATAGACTGTGAGGGTGCTAACCAAGATGTCCCAAAATCCACACCTCTGGGCTCGACCAATATTAGCAGCTGCCCACATGTATAAGCAAAATGTCCATCCATCTATCCATTCGCTTCCGCTTATCCTTTTCAGGGTCGCGGGGGGCGCTGGAGCCTATCTCAGCTGTCATAGGGCGAGAGGCGGGGTACATCCTGGACAGGTCGCCAGTCTGTCGCAGGGCCAACACACAGGGACAGACAACCATTCGCACTCTCATTCACTCGCACATTCACACCTAGTGGCAATTTGGATTATCCAATTAACCTATCCCCACAAGTTGCATGTCTTTGGACGGTGGGAGGAAGCCGGAGTACCCGGAGGGAACCCACGCAAACACGGGGAGAACATGCAAACTCCACACAGAAAGACCCCGGCCTGATGTTGGAATTGAACTCAGGACCTTCTTGCTGTGCGGCAACAGTGCTAACCACCGTGCCACCGTGCTGCCCATATAAGCAAAATGTCTTCAAGAAAAAAGATTTATTATCAGATATGGCTGTGTAAGTCTAAGGAGCTTGGAAAGAAAGCGACTGAACTTTTTCTTGAAGTTTCTTGAAGATGTTTTGGCTCTTATCCAAGAAGCTTCTCCAATTCTAAAGTTCTAAATTTCTAGAACTATATAAAAGTTCTAAATCTAAATTTTATTGTCAAACAAAACAAAAAAAACGAGCTGTTTGACCACAATGACAAGCAGTATGTTTAGAGGAGTAAAGGTGGGGCCTTCAAACCTAACAAAACTATATCAGCTGTCAAGCATGGTAGTGGTATCATCATGTTATGGGGCTGTTTTGCTATGAGTGATACTTGTAGATTGCTCAAAATTGATAGAACAATTTTTAATCTCAGCGATGCCATTGCTTACAACATCCCCTACAATGCCTGCACTTCTGTGCTGGCACTACACTGGTTCAAAAATAGACCATTCTGTGTCAGCTTTGGAAACAATTCTTCTTCCACAGCTACACTTTATTGTGGGGTACCTCAGGGTTCTGTCTTAGGTCCTAACCTGTTCTTACAACTTCTTCTTTGGTCAGAAATCTTGGTGTGATATTTGAATCTGGCTTTAAGATAAGCAAATTAACTCAATGGTTAAAAATAGCTTTTGTCCTTCTCTGATTCAGCTCAGCCCAAAATACTGCTGCTAGGCTGCTCAAAGGCACCTCAAAAAGAAATCATATTAATCTGTTTAAGCTATTCTCCACTTATTGCCAGTGAAGTTTAGAAGTGATTTCAAGATCCTCTGATCTTGCTCTGTAAAGTTGTCTGTAAAGCTCTTCTTGACCTGCCTCCTTTTTACATGTCCAACTTCTTACACAGCTACTTGACTTCTTGTTTCCTCCAGTCAGCTGATCGCATGCTTCTGACTGTCTGCTACTCTGGATTTTAAATCAGAGTCTTAGCAACGTAGAACAGCATTTCCCTCACAGTGATGTCTGCTCCTTCCACTGAGTATTTTAAAACTAAACCAAAAACTTATTATTATTCATTGGAATTTGAGTTTGTCTGATTTACTCATTGTGTCGCCTATACTTTTTTCCAGCCATGACTGTATATGTTTAGCACCTGCTAGCATACGTTTACTTATTTCTGTTCTCTTTGCCTATTTACTTCTATCAAATCTGTGGTACAGCACTTTGGTCAATATAAGTTAGGTTTTTTTTGTTTTTACCTTATAAATAAATTGGAGTTTGAGAGCTAGATGGTGGAAACTCAAAGACACATCAAAACTGGTTTTGGAATAAATAAAGCAAGCTAGCAAGCTTCTGGAATAGCTTTCTCAAAGCCCAGACTTCAACTTCATCGAAAATTTATGGACTGTTCTTAAAAGGCAGGTCTGTGCCAGGAAACCAAGCACTTTAAATGAACTCTACCAGTTCTATCTAGAAGAGTGGTCAAATATCCAGCCAGAATTATGCTACAAGCTTGTTGATGACTACCAAAAACATCTGATTAAGGTGCGATTTGCTAAGGGCCTTTTAACCAAACCTTAGTGGGGGTGTATGCAAATATTTGACCTGTATTTATAATTTTGTCCCTGTGTGGAGAGAATAAATATTTTCTAACTTGTGGACCAAATTCTTGTTTTTTTAAAGTCATTAAAAATCTATGCTGTGCAATCATTCCACAACAGCTCAAAGAAATCACTGAAAATGATATTACCATGACATTCATGCCCATGATAAGTGTATGTAAATTTCTTACAACAACAGTAGATCTTGCACTCCTTGATTTATTGCTTAAGGATTCACAACAACAAACTTAATAAGATCAATACATCTTAGGCTAAAAAAAAAAAAAAAAATCATACACTATCTGATTTTTGAAATTTTGCATTTCCTAGTTGAGGCTACTTGAAGAATTTATCCGATATAGTTTGTTTCTTTTACCAAAATTCCTCTCAGGCTCCTTTAAATTCTCTATCACCTCTTGTACACACCCACAACACCAATTTAAGCAGCTTGTGCCAGCAGAATAATAAGTATTTCAAGCTCTGGGCCTGCAAGCTGCAAACATGCTGCATGTCTATCAATTACTGGCTTTCAAGTGGAGATATCGCACTAAGAATCAGAAACATATTAAGAGAAAAATTACATCACTTGTGCAAAGCTCAGAGTGTATTCAAGTCACTCTTGGTGCAAATGTAAATCAATTTGTCTTTTTGCGACGCTACTAGTGACCGTCTGTCAGAAGTCATGAAGCAATGTGCACAAAATGTGATTTTAATAATCCAATTATGGGATGAATCATAATATTTTGCAGTTCCTATCATCTTAAAAGATGACATGTACAGCACTGCATGTCCAATCCTATTTGCTTTGTAAGCTAAAAATGAAAACTAATTGAATTTAGTTGGCAAACAGTCCACTATAGATCAAGAGGTCTACTATGAACAACTGATGGGGCTGTCACTCACCACTGCTAAAGCAAGCTGATAAATGTATGAGTGTCTGCATGAGTGTGCGTGTATGTGTTTGTGTGTGTATGTGCAGCTGCTGCAGCAGGCTCTTCATGGCTAATGTTTCTTAATGCCATGGTGTTGCCTCTGATAAGCACGTCATGGTGTTTACATTACGAAGGCTTCCTCGCCCTATTAGCAGTCCCCTAGCGTGCACAACTAAATTAAATGCTTCATGCCAATACTAATGGAGCATCTATCCCTCTAAGGCTGTAGTTGTTGGCCTGCAATCATAACACACCAATCACAACTGCTCTGCAGACCACCACAATGATTTGTGGCATTTTAACGACTGTTCTGGTGTCCAAAACAGCAGCTGACTGTAAGAATATCTCATAGTCACACATCAAAAGTGGAGCAAAATCAGCTGGTGATACTTACAAGTATTTTTTATTTTCGTAGACATCGTGTAGCTTTAAAACATGTGGGTGTTCTATGAGCTTCAGAATAGCTATTTCTCGCTCCACCTGTAAGAAAGAAAAAGAAGGAAGAAGAAATTAGTAAAAAGAGTTTTGATTACTGCATCATCAATGTTGCTACATTCCTAAAAAGACTCCACACCAAGAATATATTCGGGCCTATTAAAAAATAAATATTCCCTTCTTTCTCTTTTTTAAACCTTAGTACCAAAGTAGTGTAGCACTTTGGTTTAGGTGCAAAGCACTTAATAACCCCAAAAACATCCCCTGATGAGGCACTGCTGAAAGGGTTTCCACCAGTCTGTAACAGTTGTACAAACCAACTGCAGGCAAAACAGTTTAGCACCTGGAGTCTTCTACTATGAAGTCAAGCTGCTGTAATAGATGCAAATACATCTTTTGGCATAGTCTTTTCAGCATTTGAGCACTGATGGTGCTTTTCCAGATGTGTAAGCCAACAATTCCATAGGCAACCGAATTGTCAGAGTCCATTTTTTTCCAAAAATAGTTTTGAAATATTGCTTGTTGACCACAGAACTTCCTTCCACTTTGCTTCAGTCTGTTTTAAGCTTCGTCTCTAAGTGTTCCAGAGCCAATTTAGTGATTTCCATGACAGAACCACATCTGCTTTTAATGCAGTGTCATTTGAGTGCCCAAAGATCACAAACATCCAATAGTGATTTTCAGTATTGGTTCTTTCCGCTGGTTCTTGAAACATCTGATATGTTTTTTATATTGTGAATAAAAATGGGTTTATGCGATTTGTAAATCATTACATTCTTTTCCATTTTACACAGTGTACTAACTTTTTGGAATAAGTAAACTAAGGAAAGGACCTGGCTGTTACTTTCTAGTGAGAGAACGGACAAAGATAAGCTTTGATCAGACTCTGAGCTGGTTAGCTTCCCAGCCAGTAATAACTGCTATCTCATGTTTGCTTCAAAAACAGATGGAAAACAGGTTGCATTCGCCTTATCTTACACATTCTCTCCCAAAACAAGCCTTGAAAATACTGTAACATTTCATAATCCGTTGGTTTTCCTGACGTGAACACAAGTCGGTTTGTTTTGATAAGAAATGTGAGGGAGAATAATGTGTCAGAGTCACACATTCCACATTTGAACACTGTCCACGGACTGACTCTTACCCACAGTTAACAACACAAAGCATAGGTCAATATGGGTCAAAATGTGCACTCAGGTACATGAACATTGCCCACAAGAGGCTTCTTTACACTGCAGTTATTGACTGTACTGTAAATATAAACACTACTGTGTCCAGAAGAAACAGACAGCTGAGACAACTAAAGTCCCTACGTTTTGTTTTATTTTGTGTACAGAGCTACTAGGTGACATGTACACTGTACAAAGCAAAATTTCACCAAAATCCAGCTGATCACTCTGGATTTGTATCACCATCTCCAGAGGTCTTTGTCAGCATGTACAGCTGCCACTGAAAATCAGCATGCAACCCGCTTCGACAGACTCCACCACTGCTCTTCAGCACCCTGTCCTCCTGGTCTCCTCTCGGCCATCAGCTCACCCTTCCACAGTTCTTGCCCATCTTCCCTTCCACCTTCAGCATCTAACTTTGACTGACAAGGATGAAGATGAAAGAACAGCGCGAGTTAAAGGCTCCTCTCTCAATCTCATCAAAATCAATTTCACTATGTCATTTGACTGTGACAGCCTTCGCGTCGCTTTAATGTCATACTCAGCGTGGCTTGGCTTTATGAACACTCGTGTGGACTGAAGTCAAAACTGTGATCTGCCAGCTAACTATGTTCTCATTAAATACTCCAAAGCTGTTTGTTCAATAAGTGATATGCTCTTATTGACTCATACTCACAATGCTTTAATTTCAAGACAGGTTTTGTTAGTGGTCTCTGCTCAGTCTGTGATTGTGGTATACCTTTACACACAATTCATATTTTTCGGGCAAATAATTTTGTATCTGGCAAAAACACAATTAAAAAACTGCTTAAATACATTCAGTCTCTCCAAAGAAAATGCGGTGCAGCGTTTTATTATTCAAGCTGGGCCTAACAAAAACAAAAAACCCCACAAGAGAATAAAAAGCTATGTAAAATATATTAGAAAAACTAGGCACACGTCTGAGTCTGAAAAGGGTATAAAGGGATAATTACCACTGGCATGAAGAAGCAGCATGAGAAAAAGCTAGGCTAATCAGGGTTAATCCAGACACTAATGAGTGCTATCAGCAGCACTGCACTATGCCACTTTCTCACCTGAGGCTAAGGTGCGTTGTTAAGAATGAGCCCGTGGTGGCTAGCTCGCTAGCTGGCAGTAGGCTCCCTGCAAGGAGACTAATGCTAACCAGGACTCGAGATGAGCTGTCGAAATCCTACAGGGCCGACATCCTAAGCTTCTTTTAACACCTCCTTTTAGTTAATTGAAAAAAAAGAGAGAAATGAGGCTTAATGTGAAGACTTAACTGAACAACAGTCTGCTTATTGCAAGATTTGGTGTTGATTAACATACTATTATAAATCTGTGAAGCAACCTTTGCTCTTTCTAGTAATGCCTTTTTTCTTTAAGTATCCTACAGTTATCAAAAGGTGACTGGAAAAATACGGTTATTCCTCATTTGCTTTCTTCTGGAAAAGGGGTCACACAGTATGTGTTCTGTTCATGCAGTGGATTCATGCATACCTAATGCATGAAAGGCACACAAAGGAGGAACACCAACGGCTTCTGCATTTATCCACACAGCCACTAACTGCCCACTCACTCAAATACACACACTCTGTAACTTCATGCTAGTAATAAACAATACCAGGTGGCCATTCCCCATCTTGGCCTGGCTCCTGTGCATGCCACAGTCTCTCATTAAATTTCACATCTGTGAGTGTGGACACTTCTCTCCAGTTGCCATTTCTCCACGGGACTTCATTAGGCCTTTATTAGCAGGCACTTGGACATGTTCACCAAGATGCACACACATGCACCTAAACAGAGGTTAGATGAAGACACTCTTTTTATCTTGTCTTGTGTTCTTTTTTTTGTTTGGCAGTTCAAATTACAGCAATTTCTGGTCAATTTCTCGATAACAAAACGCGTCTGCGAGGCAGGAAAAATGACGCCTCGCCAGAAAAAAGGGGTCGAATGTAAAGCAGTGTGGTTATTGTTGTGAAGTGGACATCATTAGCAGAAGACATCAGAACAGGAGCTTGTTAGTGGAAGAGCTGATTGGCACACTTCGACCCACAGGCTTTCCCATCAGTGTCACATCCTGCCACAATAGATGAATCAATAGGAAGGAACAGCAACAGTGATTTTTTTTTTTTAAAGATGTTAACTAAGACAACAACTGCAACTACAGTTAAGCTGTAATAAAAAAGCAAGCTGTATGCTGAAAGAAAAAGTCTCATGGTCCTAATGGTCTTGATGCTGTTTGGTCTAAAAAGTACAGCTTATATGATTTATTACCTTTACTTCAATTTGCACGCAAAGTGTAGATGCAATAGAATAATACGCATATGTGAGGGAGAAAGGCTGAGGAGGCTGTAGCTACTTGGAAAAATAAGACAAAAGGAGTAAGTGGTGTCACTCCAAATTCAGAGGATGACAGCCAGTTTAGCATAGTTCCATCAGCTCGCTATTGATTTGTTAAATTACAGCTCTGGATCTAAATGACCGAATGGATGAGCAAACAAATGAGTGGCAACATCAATAGTTTTATCGCCACGGCCAGTGATAGAGGCCAGGGGATTACAGGCATGCAGACGACAACAAAGACGCAAAGAAATTAGATTCATGTCGCATGTGACAGAATGACCAAACACAGAAGCCAGCCCAAAATCTCAAAGGGTGAAATGCTGGATCACAGGCTCTGTCATCTCTCGCTCTCCACTTATTGCACCTCACACCATTTTTCCCAGCCGGCCTCTCTCACCCCACAGAAGGAAAACACAGACATTTCTGTCACCTCCCCAGGCAAGTGAGTGAATGGCCCCTTGATACTGAGATCTAAGGATCAAAGTCAGCAGGGCAGCCATGTGTGTCAGATAAAAAAAAGGGTGGCTATGCTAACAGTGAGGCCGTAGTGCGTGCAAAAGCTGCTGGGTGGATTAAAAGAAAAAACAAAGGAGAGACAGGGGAGGGTGTGTGGATGTGGAAGGGATAAAGGAAAAGCCATGTAATTCTCTCCAACGGAGAACGGCAAAAGAAAAGTGTTATGAAATGGGGGGAGGAGCAGTGGTGGCAGCTTGAGCCATCCTCCCTGCACATCACCACCCCATCTCCTGGGTCTTTTATTGTTAATTAACACAACACGGGGAAAGGACAACCTGTTTAACATCGCCATGCACCAAGCAGAGTGTGAATGATAACACAAGGCAGCAACGTAACGAGTTACAAGCATCAAAAGACGCGAGAGACCTCTCCGCTTTAATAGCTTTACTTTGCAGAACAAACCAAATATCGACATTAACTGACAACGACGATTTTTTTTTACGTTTCCATATTTCTCAGCGTTTTGAAAGATGTGTAAAATATAGGATTATGATGGCATGAGTCACTGTTTAACATTAATCTATTATATTGTTTTCTAACAGCTTTGTGCCAGAGATCGTTATCTTTACAGCATAACGTCTTTTTTCCCCCGAATATGTATTTTCATACAGCTCAGCTTTATAATTCAAAGATTACTTTTTTTAAACAAAGCAGTTTTTCTCTTAATCTACCAGTCTTCAACATTATACAAGTAGATATCATGTTTCACACTATATTATGATATTTATATATATATATATATATAGTTACTATTTTAGGGTAATGACAGAATGAACAGTTAACATATGGGGAAAAGAGGCGTAAGATCTGGATGGGGTAACGGCTGTAGAGAAGGAGACCTGGTCTAACTGTTAGGGAGCAGAAGGGGAGGAGACAACACAGCTTGGCTACTGGCTCACAGACAAAACCAGTCAGCTTGTCAGCATTCATACTTGTGACATGTGGATACTTTACTCTATGCTGCACACACACTGTACGCATACACTCCACTGATCATGGCAAGCCAAGAGCCAC